TTTTTTTTTTTTTTTTACAAAATCCGAACATTGACATTTTATAATAATTTTTTTTTTTAAAAGAAAAAAAATATGCGTTGAATTAAATAAAAGTATTCGATGTTGATAGATCAAAATTATATTTATGACGAAATTTTATCAATTATTATTTATTGTGTAAAAATAAATGTTATCCGTGGGTACTATTGGAAATTTTTTAGAATTATTTCGGAAAAAAATATTTTTTTCGTTATGATGCTATTATAACAAATGTTCGTACCTTCGATTGACATGTGACTAAACATGTGACTTTATAGATATAAAATGATCAATATATTAGAATTTAAAAATTTTAAATTTTTTATTATCCAATAAACCTTATTAACAAAGATTTTTTTTTTTTTTTTGGCGATGGTGGCCACAGCAGACTGTACATACAGAGTATTGGTATGCTAATACATGAATTACATTTTTTTTTTTAACTCATCATTTCAAAAGTATTATGTGAATTCAATTAATTCTTTGTTATCTATGCTAAAGACCAACAATAAAATATTTGGCCTTTATAGTTTCTCCGGCAACCATTCTAAAAATTCCAATTCATTAATCGAAAACAATATAAGACTTTGAAAATTTTAAACCACTATATTTCAGCAAAATAAATATTTCTATTACCACTAAAAAATTAATACTAAATGCAAATAACTCCACCATTCTTTAATGACTTTTCGGTCATTTAATCTAATTTCAATGCATTTGGATCCCTTATTTTAAAATTTGGATCATAATTAGATTAATACCCATGTATTCTACCTCGCGAATTTCGCTTTATTCCTTGAACTTGCATACATTCCCAGAAAGATGAAATAATGCATAATATATTTGGAATAAAAAAATTAAAAATATAAATTAATCATAAATTATTAATTAATTATTCAAATAAACACTAACCACCTTCAAGTTCTAATCGAAAGATATGAAATAATAAATATTTTATTAATTTGAGTTACCAATTAATCATGGTCAGTTGCATATCTGCTATATATAAAATCCTGGCATAGCTTAATCTTTCACATCATCCTGACAATCGGTATAAATTAATCAGACCTTGCATTAAGTAAGAGAAAGATATTAGAGTTAGAGATTATATTAAAATAAGGGAATTAGGGTAAAGGAATTAAAGTAAGAGAATTAGGATAAATTGATTAAAGTAAGGAACTGGGTAAAGAAAATTGGGATATGAAAGGGAATTGAAGTGTTAAGAACATAGAACCCTAGCCTTTTAGTTCTACGAGGATCTGACTTAAATTCTTAATTGGAAAGTTATATCTCGGTAACGAAATTTTTTTTTTTTAACAAAAAAGTTTTCTTCTAAGCTTTAATTAATCAAAAAATTTTGTAATTTGTAAGTGCTAGTGCTGTATTACCTCACAATACTGATTCACTATTAATTTGAAATTACTGGTTCTCTAACATGATAAATAATATTAATGCATTAAAAGATAACATTTCTCATTAATAAAATTACTAATGAAATAAATCATAAATAATGAATCGAACTATATTTATATGTTTGAAAATACTAGCGTATATATTGCCATTACTTAAAGATACGCGTGAATTTTTTTCCCTCCTCGCAAGAGCATGGAAAATACTAATCTCATGCTCCAGTTTCCCATCCATATTTCTTTTGAAACATCACATGCTCTTTTATTTCAACTGGTCTATTTTAAATTCGGGACTGACTTCTCGTTCCTTCTATTCACATTTTAACGATTCAGCAGTTGGCCTACACTCTTCAAAACTTGAGAGAGTAATAGCCATACTTCTTCGGGTTTCTTTCCATCATTTCTCTCGCTAATAACAGATCATTATTGTGACTTCCATTTTTTGTAAATACTCTAATTAACTTACTTCTGAATGATTTGGAAAAGTTTGAAATTCCAGAGCAAGTCCGTATTGGTCTTTCACCATCGGTGCCATATGTAAATACCGGTAGATAATAGTAAGTTGGATCTTCCAACCAGAAAAATCTATAATTTTGTGGGATATAAGGTGCCACAATTGCGGAAGGAGGAGGAGAAAGAATTACATGACTCGAATCGGGTGTCTTTATATAGGAAGGGCGTCTAATTTTATTGTTGCAATAAATGTTGTCCAGACGATTTCATCTCGTATTGAACGTGCTTCGCGTTTGCGATATTGTTTATTGTATCGGTTCAGTGACGTTGATTTGCGTTTTTATCTAGCTTTTTTTTGAGCATCCGATAACGGTGGAATATAATTTATGATGAATTTTTTGAGTAAATTTTAGTATAGGACCCTTAAACGGTTATTTGATGTATATTTATCGTCAATTTTGTCGTCAGATGACGTGTGATCCTGTTCCATCTTTCAATTTGTTGTGTACTAATAAATTTTTTGAGTGAGGTGATGGGTATCCTGATGGGCTTCGAACGAAAACGTCTCAACGTCCGAACACTCTATATCTCAACTTCTTCAATAAGAACTTTAACGTTCCTTCCACATCACGTATAATGATATTCTTAATAGTTAAAACTTATTATTATTAGCTTAGAACAACCATAATAATCAATTAAATGCAACAAATCTTGCCATACCTTCAATTTTCAAATGCTGCTTTGGAAAACATTTAGACGATTTCAGCGAAGTAAAATCTGGATTTCTTCATCCCATCATAAGATCCTATACCACCAAAGAAGATACATATGAATATCTAAATGGAGTAAAAGGAGCAATCTTCTATAAACATTCTGTAAGATGTAATATATATATATATGATTTCTGAATCCTTAGATAAACAAAAAATTGTTATAAATTCTTCAAACTTATGAAAAAATCTTAGTATGATCTTATCATTAAATATATAAAAAAAATCAAATTATATTGATTCTACTACATTTCTTTTATATGATATGTCTTTTAATTATTATCAAAAAAAAATTATAATAATATTACAAAAAGGTCTCTTACATAAAATTTTTTTGATTTCGGTGATTATTCGGTATTGCAGTAGCTTCTTTTCCCCCTCGTTTCAATTTCCCCTTTAATGGGTTTAATGATTCCTTGGCATCAATCTTAATATAGTCGCATGATTATGAGCTTCAATTTACGAATTCACGAGTGTACTCGACATAACAAAAAGTTTCCTGATGAAAAAGAATAATTTATCGAGTTTCCCAGTTTAATCTTCCAAGAACAAAATCTGTGAAGGCAATCATAAGGGTTTCCAATATCTTTGAATACCGCGGGTTTACCTTCCCGCACATACATTTAATATCGATAGTATTATTCCATGTATCATACTATTATCTATGCGAAACCAAAATTGATAACACCGCTAGGATCTTACAATATCCTCTCTTCATAAGGATTTTCGGTTGCTGAGCAACCACCGGGCGTGCGTATATAATTATCGGGATTATCAAAGTTATCAGCTTCATCAGAATAATCAGAAGAAAAATCTGAACTTCCTAAAGTAATTATTTCCCTGGTTGACAGTGAAGAACTCTGAGCTTATACTTTGCGAATTTAACCGTTAATTTCTTGGTTTGCTCTAGAATGGATCTACGCCAGTAGCGACATCGCCACTTACTTTGTAAGGCAATTTCCTACTTTACGAATTCTTTTTATCCCCGTCTGACTTCTGAAACGAAGATTGCAAAGGTTGCCTTCTCGAATTCGAGTTTTTTGACCCCATATTTGCAGTCTTTTGTTGCCTGTAGCAATCATCATCTCCCGGGTTATCATCATTGGTCCATTTGGCAAGTTATTGGCAGCTTCTTTAACCAAAGAATTTGATTTTGCAATTCTACCTATATGATTTCTTTTTTAATAAACATCCCTAATCTTTTTGAATATCCAAATTAACCATGTAGCAGTAGTAGTCTATTTTCTAAAAAAAAAAAAAAAAAATATTAATATACCATATAAAAAAAAATACACTCATAAATTTGATTTAAATAATTTACATCATCGTCTTCGTAAGTTTGGATTACAACGCTACAATTATTTACACTAATAGTAATTTCTTTGATTTTCTAATTTTCTATTCTTCCAGTTTGTAAAAAATGATTCTAATTTCTTGGATGTACAAAGTCTAATTTTGAATTGTTTTTTTGTGAATAATTGTATAATATTAATTCATGAAAATGTTTTTGGTGAATAATTTGCAACCATCTCGAATACTATTTCTTGAACGAAAAACCAGGAAACGTGAGAAATGACCTGACGCGAAAATTATCATTATCGTTTATTTTCTGTTTATTACGATTTTATCGTCAGGATAGCGAATTTCTTTTTTTAGAAATTTAGTGAGTACATGACATCATCTACAAGACCCCGGTCATTCGGAAAAAAAAATTGAGATTATCATTTTTTGTATTACTGTAAACGAAAAAAAGTCAAAAGTTGATTTTTATCCGACATGTGGCAAACATTGCACAAAAAAATCGCTGCACCACACATCAGATTTAATGCACAGGAAGTCTATCAGTAAAATCTATTTAAATCAAATGATAAATTCTTTCTTTCATTTATTTCTTCAAAAGTCGCAAAATATCCAATTGGATAATGACTCTTATTAAGGAGTTCTTACAAGGAAATATTTTTAATAATTGTAATATTACTTTAACGTAAATCAATAGTAAAATATGTATTATATGTGTATATAATATTACTTTTAACATAAATCAATATAGTTTATTTGATACTATAAATAAACTCAACATAATTCAATATAGCTTATTTGATACTATGAATAAACTTTAGTTAATATACTACTACATTGGTCAAATAAAATGAAAATTATTACTATATAATTAAAACTTTTTTTTAAAACTTTTTTTTTAAAAAAAAATTTTGAAATCCCTATAAAAAAATTATGGAAAAAACCGATAAATGATCATTTTTCTAGTTTGTATTCCCAGAAACGTGATCAAAATTTTTTAGAGAATGGAGTCAAAGTTTTGGTCAGAACTTATAACGAAAGGTCATCTTGTTGAAATAAAGAGTTGGGTCAACGAGAATGGACCGATAATTTTTCTGTAAAATGGTGTTAGTCAGATTATTTTCGTTCTAATTTAAAGGAAAAAAAGGATGGAAAGTACGTTTTTGGGGATCTAATATTCTCAACAGCAAAAGAATTTGTATATGTCAAATTTAAATATGATCAAGGAATTGAATTTTATTCACTTGTTAGGCATATTCAAGAATTTTTAATTGATAATAATCTATTAAATTTCTTGATCCAAATCTGCCACAAGGATTACGACATGATGGGAATTGGAAGGCGACAACATGTGGCCCACTTTCGAAGATTTTAAGAATTCACTAGAGAGTTGGCTCGAAAAGTATTATACTAACTATATTAAGGAATTGGAACAACGAGAATGGACCAATAATTTTTCCGTAAAACATCATGCTATGGTGGAAAGTGATGATAAGCTTAAAGAAGTTGTGTTGAAAATTCTTGATACGTTGAAAACGTTTGGTGTAATCCAGCTTTTTGCCCTCAATTTGTTGAATCATTAAATGAGGATACCTATGTCAATAATGTAATTGTTTCATTGTTTCTGCAATTCATGCTACATTATTTGATAATCCCTTTGGAGAAAATGCAATAATCACCACGTAAGTTGTCATAATATTAATATATTGATATAATAATGCTATGAATCTAAGATTGATGAATATAATTTTATTTTTTAGTTTTGAACGTCAAAGTATAGCAAGTTCAGATAGAAAGGGCGATGGACGAGGAAGACGACCAGATATAATGCTTGTAACAAATGAAAGTGACAAACTTTATGAACTTATGTATGTAGAATGTTCATGAATTTGTTGTAACAAGCAGAAGAAATGTACTAGGTTCGAGAAAGTCAAAACCTGAAAAGGGTCAATTTGGAATTGTAGGAGTGCAAGTAGCAGGACCAAAGCTATATTTGAATGTTCTGATCAGAGATGATGTTGAAGTGCATCGTTATTACAAATTGTGTGAATCTACAATTCCGATTAATTATTCAAATGATCCTTCTATTCTGGCTGAGTTTATTAAAACTTTGTTAATTTTACAAAATATTATAATTGTTAACATGTACATATTGTGTAGTACTTCCTTACGTAGAAACTTAGAAGATAGTTCAACGGTAACATCTGATTAAGTTAAAATAGATAGATTGTACATATTATTAATAAAAATTGTACTAAGATATTATGTTTACAGTATTTTTTGCAAAAAAGTGATCGGCGTGAACAATTGTTCATGCGCATGACGCAGTAATTTATTAGTAAAACTAGCTATTTTTATTCGAGTATAACCAGTAGCTCCAAGGGTCACGATCACGTTTCAGATGATCAATCAATAAATGCAAGACAATATAATAAATAAAAATTCCATATTTTATGACCATTAGCTAGTTAATTGAATAAACATAGTGAGATCAATGATAAAATAAAATATTTAGTGATCCGATAGATCCTATTTTATGGATCCAGCTCGGATATCCTAATCTGATATTTTAGGACGGATTTAATCTGTTATAAAACGGATGACGGATGGGAGATCATCTGGATTAACGGATTGTAATCCGTATAAAATTATAAACAGATCGGTATCTGGACTTTTCGCCGAAGTCCTTTTCGCCGAAGGGATATTTCGCCGAAAGGACGTTTCACCGAAATACCATTTCACCGAATTCCATTTCACCGAAGCCATTTTATCGAATGAACATTTCGCCGAAAAATTTTTTATTCCATTTGGTTATTTTATAACATAAAGAAATGTTTTCTAGAAAAATTTTTAAAATTTTTGAATTAGCTGATTTTTATTAAATTTATCTTTGTTTATAATATATTAATAGTCTTTTTTTTACTTACTTTTTTCGTGAATAAATGTTTCAGGAAAATAAAGTTATTTATTTATTTCTTAACAATTAATATCAGTTACTTGAATGTTAAAGTGATAATATCCTGAGAAAAAAAAATCTCTAAAAATAATTTAATTTTTAATTTCATTGCGCGATGAATACTTATTAAAATGTTACAGTAATCGCTACCATTGTCCATTAGGCAAAATGTCCACTCGGCGAAATGTCCATTTTGATAAAATGGCTTCGGAAAAATGGATTCGGTAAAATGGAGTTTCGTGAAATGGTATTTCGGCGAAACGTTCTTTCAGCGAAATACCCCTTCGGTGAAATCCCTTCGGAGAAATGGCTTCGGCGGAATGGGTTTCAGTGAAATGGACTTCGGCAAAAAGTCCAAATACCTTGGATACCCTTAATGACTACCTGCTAAACCATTTAAATATGTGGGTCACTATCTATAAATATGATCTTCAATAATATCCGTTCAAGCAACAGATCCACCTCTAGTAGTTCTGAGACTTTAAATTCCGCCCCAAAGAACTACTAGAATTGAAAATTAAAGAAAAACAAATTGGAGGTGGTGGATTAAACACATATTTGAATACGAGATGGACGACTGTTTATGAGATGTTAGATTCAATTTCTCGGCTGGAAATTTGTCTCAAAGTACAACTTTATTATTTTATTTTGTAATATAAAAATTGCAAAATTGCAATTTGATTTTATTTTTTGTTAAATATATTTTATTAGGTTATCAGTGAAAACTCTAATATTATTACGAGTGAGGCTGTTAAGATAATTATTAATCGGAAACGTGGATTTTTTAATTTAATGATGTTTATGATTTGACAAACATTATGATACCTATCAGAGACGCTATTCTAAGTCTTGAAAGTAATAAATCAACGCTAGCTGATTGTTACTTTTTTTCTGGCATATCTTGGTCAATCGATTAACAAGATTCCTGATGAAGATGATTTCGTCAGATTCAATTAAATCCTTCAACGAACGATTTAAAATGTATGATTTCGACGAATATCTCTTAGCGTATTATATTCATCCTGATTACAAAGGTAAAAAAATATTAACTATTATTTTTTTATAAACAATAATGTAAATAGTATTTTTTAAAAATTAACAACTAATAAACTGCGGCAAATGTAATATTTCATGACGATCACATACCAACTATCGTTTGAAGCTGATGATATAGATGAACTTTGAACTTTAAAATTTAAATTATGTTATTAATTAAAATTCTTTAAAATTGATATGAATCAGTAACATGTTATTAATAGTAACATACGTCAATTTTTCGTGTACGTTTATTATATTAATGTTTTAACGCGTGTAACCTTAAACGACAATGTAATTATTAACTACTAAATTTCATGAATATGATATCATTAACATTTAAACTTATTGTTGGCACGAAAGTTATTCACAATATATTAACCGTATCGTATTGTTGATCAACTTAATCTTGTAATAAAAAGTACAAATGATGCAGACAATAAAATAAAATTCTAAATATGTTAATAAATTTGTTTCTTTAAAAATTCTTAAATTTCATTATTATTATTTTAAGGGATCTTAATACAATTGAGACATGTCTATTAATAACATGTATCATTATTTCAAAATATTCACAAGGAAATTGGCCCCTTAATCATTATCAGATTTTTTTTAGTAAAACAAAAGAAATTCAAAAAAAGTGTGAGAAAATTACGTTTATTTGATGTTATATGCAAATTTAAATATAAATAAGATCAAAAAAAAATCTGGTTATTTCTATCAATTTTTTCTTTTCCCTTTTTTTTAAAAAAAAAATTCAATGACAAAGTTTTCTTGCCTAACACTTATACTTATCATACACGTAATATTATCCATTAATAATCAATGAAAAAATATTGATATGGATATTTATAATTAATTTATATTTTAAACTTTTAAATTTTAATATATTATTTTTAAAATCTAAAATATTTTTATCTCAGATGGAGAGATATTTTATATAAAAATAAACCTTCATAAGATCATATCAACATATTAGTTATAATAACTTTTTATAATAGTTTTAAAAAAATATTTTATAAATAATCTGGTTTAAATTTGATAATGACCAAGCAACAATCTTAAAATTTAACTCGCAGATTTTGTCGAAGTGACACCGGCCAAACTTAAAAAGAAACGGCAAAACAAGATTTGGCTCATGAAAGCATGGGCCAAACAAATTTTTCCAAGAAAAAAGTTAATACATCAGCTCAACACTCTGTCAAACAAGATTTTGTTTGAAAAAAGTCGAAATAATATGGCCAAACATAGGCAAATCCATATAAGTGTATTGCAAAACAAGATTTGGCTCATGAAAGTCAAAATAATATCATGGCCAAACAAATTTTGGCAAGAAACAAGTTAAGGCATAGGCCAAAAATAATATATAACGTAAAGTTATATATAAAATAAAATTCGATCTGAAATTTATAATATATATATAAAAAAAAGGCAGATTAAGATAATTTTATTTATAAATATTAGTAGAATTTTGGGAGAGTACGTCGATGATAATTTTATATACAATGCGGGAGAAAGTGGAGGGATAATTTTATATACAATGCGGGAGAAGTTGAAGTGGAGGATAATTTTATATACAATGCGGGAGAAGTTGAAGTGGAGGATAATTTTATATACAATGCGGGAGAAAGTGGAAGATAATTTTATATACAATGCGGGAGAAAGTGGAGGAATTTGTACCCGAAATTTTCTTACAGCAAGGTTTAGTTGGGAAAGCCTTGTAATACTTTCCTCCAACGCACCGTTTAGGGTACGGATAGGAAGGCAATTTAGGAAAAGACCAAATTTTATGTTTCGCGTAGATAATTTAAACTTTAAAATTAAACTATTTTTTAATTGATTAGCTTAACAAATACATTAATTAATTGAGTTTAAATATAGTAAAATACATTATTATTATTAGATTAAATGTTGTAGACTATTTTGCGTTAGTTAATTTATCTAAGAAATAAAAATTAATAAAGAAATAAAGAAATAAATAAATTTATTGTATATTCTTTCATTTGATTATTGAAGAAACTTTTCTATTAATAAAGCCTAAACTCACAAACAAGCATCATATATGCATCGTGATACTGGTGCATTTTGGAAATGAAAATGAAATACCTGAACGCATCAAGCTTATGATTGGGAAAGAAAACAAACAAAAAAAAATGGAACCCGCTTCGCTAACGATCCTCATCACTAGTATATAGAAAATTTCTCAAATTTAATTCATGATATGAACCAAACAGTATATATAAGATATGCTTTACTACATATACTATAATAATTTATTCGCATGATACAACATTAATAAAAAGTAATTAATTTTAAAATGCATTATCTGTTATAATATGGTTACGGTAACGTTTCGCTGAAGTCTATTTCGCTGAAGCCGTACTATACTATATACAGTATATCTGTTATAATATAATTTGTGTCGCAAAAAGCAGATCTTATTTTATTTCAAATTTTAGAATATTATGTTTTGTATTCAAATTATATTTTATATAAATAATAAATTATTTATCATAGAAATACTTTATTGTAAGAATGATAAGCTGAACAATTAATAATTTCATTTGTCATCCGTAACATGCAATTGCACCTATTAAAAACTTTTGAGATAAAAATAAAGTAATTTTAGGATAAAAATAATACAATCTTTATTTATCATTGAAAATAATTTGAAAGATTTATTTCAAAATTTTAAACACGAGTCTCTTAGTAAACTAATATGTTATTCCCGTCCCGGAAAGTTATTGTTATTCGTCAATATCGAATAATTGTTGTCATGTTGCACGTAATGCCACAATTCAACATCGACCATTATTCCAACGTTAAAGTATCTGATAAGCAACGACCAATTTATCAATCATATAAACATGACGAAACTTAAAAAGTTTATGATAAATAATACTTTTAAAAGCTTTATACTAATAAAGATTATATATCCTATTGGTTGCGAAATTTTTGCACTTTATTCAGATATTAAACAAGTCTAATGATATGAAATTCATTCTTCGATAAACTTCCAAAATTAGGAAGGCTTGTAATGTTTCATAAATAGATTATTACCGTAATCTATGAAACAAGGAGAAATAACTTAATTAGTTCGTGACCAGTCATGTTCACAGTAATATGAATCGGCGAATCTTTCTGGAAGTTTCATCTCAACAAAATAATTTTCAAATATAGGTTATAGGACTATCCATTCATATTATTTCATTCAAAACTTAGAACCAATC